CTGCCTCAATACTGGAATGATTCGTTGTCTATTCATGTATTCCAGAGATGCAGGGTACATCAGTTGATTGTGGGGATTTAATCCACTGCTCCTGAGGCTGCTGGAAGAGATTTCTCTTTCTCTTCCTTGTTCGCACAGCTCCTGGGGTTCAGCTTTGGATTTGGCCCTGCCTCTGCATGTAGGTCACCTGAGGGCATCTGTTCCCCCACCGCCACACAGGATGGGGTTAAAGTAGCAGCTGATTTGGGGGCTCTGGCTCACTCAGGTCAGGGGGAGGAAGGGGCATGGAATGCAGGGCGAGTCCGCAGTAGCAGAGGCCGGCGTGACGTTGCACCAGCCTGAGGTGTACTGTGTGCTCTCCCAGGGAAGTTGTCCCTGGATCACGGGACCCTGGCAGTAGCGGGCTGCACAGGCTCCGGGAGGGGAGGTGTGGAGAGTGACCTGTGCTCACACACAGGCTTCTTGGTGGCTGCAGCAGCAGCCTTAGCGTTTCATGCCCGTCTCTGGGGTCCGCACTGATAGCCGTGGCTCGCACCCGTCTCTGGAGCTCATTTAGGCGGTGCTCTGAATCCCCTGTCCTCCCTCACCCTGAAACAATGAATGGTCTCTTGCCTCTTAGGCAGGTCCAGACTTTTTCCCGGACTCCCTCCCGGCTAGCTGTGGTGCACTAGCCCCCTTAAGGCTGTGTTCACACAGCCAACCCCAGTCCTCTCCCTGGGATCTGACCTCCGAAGCCCAAGCTTCAGCTCCCAGCCCCCACCCACCCTTGTGGGTGAGCAGACAAGCCTCTCGGGCTAGTGAGTGCTGGTTGGCACCGATCCTCCATGCGGGAATCTCTCCACTTTGCCCTCTGCACCCCTGCTGCTGGGCTCTCCTCCGTGGCTCTGAAGCTTCCCTCCTATTACCCCGTCTCCACCAGTGAAGGGGCTTCCTAGTGTGTGGAAACTTTGCCTCCTTCACAGCTCTCTCCCAGAGATGCAGGTCCTGTTTCTATTCTTTTGTCTCTGTTTTTTCTTTTTTCTTTTGCCCTACCCAGGTACGTGGGGAGTTTCTTGCCTTTTGGGAGGTCTGAGCTCTTCTGCCAGCGTTCAGTAGGTGTTCTGTAGGAGTTATTCCACATGTAGATGTATTTCTGATGTATTTGTGGGGAGGAAGGTGATCTCCATGTCTTACTCCTCTGCCATCTTGAAAGTCTCTCCCTACCTTTATTGTTTTTATTTTGTAAAAATAATTTATTCTATGGGCTCTGGTGAAAAGTCATGGTTCATTGAGTAAATATTGACTTAAGGCACACAGCAGAGCAATTCTCTCTCCAGCATATGTGTGACAAGATGGAGAGCCATCTGTTTGCTGAAGATAGGACGTTATGACAATATATCCACTTTGAAATACAGCTCTATATACACACCCTAACTGCTATATAGTTACATATGAATTTTTTTTTAAAAAGTCCAACTTACAAATGCTGTCACCCCAGAATATAATCCTTATCCACAACTCACCACAGGTTTGCAGGAGTACGATTACTGAGAGTCACTTAATGTGGAGATATTAAGCTTCACCTCATTGTAACAATAAAAAAAATTATGTTCCTTTTGTCACCACCATTTTAAAAGACAGGATAGACGCACCTCTCTCACCAAGGCCATGTTGCAAAATGGAAGAGTGACTGATGATGGTAAACCAGTTTTTATTTTTAATTTAATCTTTTTAAGAACTGTGGTTTCCAACAGTTGTTGAATCATCATCTGCTGAAGAAGAATGTGAACTTGGGGTAATGGAGGCTAAACAAATCCTTAGAGAACCCCATTATATATAATGACGTATGATTCAAATGTGAGGGAAATTAGGGAAGTTTAGAATTTCCACAACATACATAGAAAATTTTTGATGACTATATGTCAAGAATAATAAAATTGTACTCAAGTGAGAATGGTTGGCACTACATTAAGTTAATTAGACAAACACTGGGAAAGGATGAGTTTAACAGTTAAAAAGAAATTTGTGCTTAAGCTATTGGGGAAAAAATGCACATAAATATTAAGAAAAACAAAGTTCGTGCAAGAAGAAGATGCAAAATATGTTAAAGATTCAAATTAACTTAATTTTCAAAAAATGGCTAAAGTAGAATATCTACTAGAGATATTTTCTCAAGAATCAAATAATTACCTCAAATGGGACTAAAGCTTATTTTAAAATGGGGAGAGATACAATAGGTTAGAAACTAGACCAGTAGAGGGAGCATAATATAGTTGGTCAACGAAGACACTAAGCATGGTTAAGATCTCTGTTAAGCAAAGATATAAAGATTGGGAGAATTATTCACTTTTATATTAGATATAAATTCTCAGATGCAAAGATATCCATTAATGATTACAAGTAATTTAAATTCCATCCTCTCAATTTAATACATTGTTTCAGTTGAATTCAGTTATTTGTATTGTAAGAACAAAATTAAGTATATTCGTATAAAAAATGTGAATGTTAAAAAAATAAATGCAAGATTTTGTAAAAATAAATTAACTTAATACTATGGCAAGTAAAACAATGGGGTAAAGTTTAGTTGCAGAGCTGTGATGGTGGAAACTATGAATAAAATACATCAGAGTAATCAAGTGGTAGCAAAATATTTTGATTCTTAAGATAAAAAAAAAAATTGAATTTTCTCTATGCCTATGTAGATGGACACCATACTGCAGCTATCCTATCTGATACCAGTAAAATTTTTTACAAATATTGAATCTGATTATGTGAACAGAAATAATGTCACATGTTTATGAGTCTGGAAGGTTAAAAAGAAAGATATCAAGGTGGACTTAGTTAATTTTATAATACTTTACCTCTGGGGTGTTTGATTAATGTTCATTGATGCTGCTTGTGACTCTGAAGAAGCAAGTGATAGATGCTAAAAATGATTTCAAAAGGATACATTATGATGGAAGATGAAGGAATGGAAAGGATTTCTATGCTGTAGAAGGGAAATAAAACTGAGTGAGGGTCCCTGGGAGGGTGTATTTGCAATATTCTGCAAGCTTTTGGCATAATATTATTCTGCAAAGGAAGTCTGTCTAAAATTATTAAAGGTAAGAAATTTAGCAGATGTAGTCGTTATCCTATGGAGTGTGTGTTATAAACACTTAGTGCTAGACTGATGAACTATGTCATAAAAAGCAGCAACCTTCAGGAACATGACAATCTTTGAGGTTTTAATGAGGAAATCCAACCATGTCTTCTCTTTTTTCCAAATCCCTTCCTCCACCCCACAAAGACAAGTCAGGCTAGAAACCTTTCCAACTATTGCTATTGAAACTGTTTCACGGAAATGATCTTGCAAAAGAGAAAGTATAAGCATATGTCCAGGCTTTCAGGATGATACAGTGTTGTATAGTAGCAATTAAAATGAGGAAGTTGTCAGGGCTAGAAATATAATTTGGGAGGTCTAGGTAGAAAAAAATCCAGTAGAGATTCCTTTGTCTATAAATATGCTTTGAATTGGGTCTGTATAAATACAGGGAATAAATCAGGACCAGAATAAATAAATAAAAGTCATATGAGCATCCTAAAAAAAAAAGAATCAGGACCAAATATTCAACCAGAATCCAGAATATGTCAACTTCTGAAACAGGATTATAGTGACTTCAGGGTCAAAACTGCACCAGAACCACACTGTGCTTACACTAGCAAATCATGTCATTTCCTCTGTGTTTACACACAGGTACACACATTAGTGTTAATTTATATACTGCAGTGAAGATAATTCTATATAATGCCCCCAAAATGAGTTCAGTTCTTCTCCACTGAGGCTTTTATTGTAATTATAGTATATTGAGTTTGAATAGAACCACAGAGATGCTGCTAAATGACTAAATATTGCATACATGAGGAAAAGAGCATTTTTAAAAAGTGGTGCCTGAATAAAGTCTCTTCCAGTTGAGAAAGATCCTCTATACACACACACACACACACACACACACACACACACAAATCTACACAGCCTCCCACATAATAATTTACATATTAGATTTTTCCTTAGAAAATTCATTATCAAGTCATTCTGATATATGTAAAATAAGGATAATTCTCTTACTTAATAATGGCTTTAGAAGCTAATAAATCTTTAAGCTTTTCATATCCTATTTTAGCTAAAATCAACTTTGAAAATTAATGCACATTATACTTGCTAAATTTAGGAATGGAGTATAATTCTAGGTAATTTAAGAACCACAATACATAGTTTCAATTTTTAAAAAAAGTTCCTAAAAATAATAAAAAATAAAATTTAATTACTTAATTAAAAGTTCTGGCTAGACAATCTTACAAATATTCAGTGGTTCATGTGTCTATTTTATTTTAGCTAAAATGTACAATGAAAACTATAAGGCAAAGAAAAGATACAACATGATCTTTAGAGAAAGTTATAAAATTCGAAACAGAATATATTTGGTTTGGAAATGATAATATTTTAGCTTTAATAACTTGATTATGTAAAATGTTCTCAATTACACAGTGATGAAGTCTCAGTTCAGTGAGTTCAGTTAAATTAAAGCATATACCACAATTTGAAAAATAGTTATGATATTTGATCAAATATTATATTCATTTGGAAAGGTAATCAGAATACTTAAAATAACATTATAAACACATTTATAAGTATACAAAATAATTAAATGTGACATTATTTACTCCTATGCTTATGTCTGCTTATTAAAGAACATTGACAATAAATAAATAATTCATAAGGTAAAGTTTTAGTTTTAATTTGAGATCTAATATTTAGTTACTGAAATGGGAAAAATCAATCTTGTTTTCACTAACCATCTCCAAATGAAACATTGACTGCAGTTGATTGTAATTTAATTATACTATTAAGTTTATCTTTTAAAATCTCACTATATGAATTTTGGCTTTCAATTACATATTACCAGCAGAAAAATTGCCATGAACATGATTACAAACTACCCCAGTGTGAAATTCATTACGAAGTCAACATGCCTACTTACCATGGTTGTCTCAGCGATCGAACCAAAGCTGTTTATGAATATGTTGCACGTGACATTAACTGGAGAGCCTGAAAAAGAGATTAAAACAGAAAAGCTGTTTAGATACTGATCTAAAATATTTTCAAGTAGCTCCATGCCTCTAATTTGTAGTTTAAAAAAAAAAAGAATTCAAAGCATTTCATTATCTGGCTATAAAGCTTTGTCATTAGACTTGATAGCTATACAAGTAAAAAACACTGAAATATTGTGTGGTAGGGGTTAAAATAACTCAGTTAATCTCTGCCTAAGCTAGTCAGATAAAATCACACACAAAAGCTGATATCTAAGCCTAATTTATTTTGTTTGTTTTTACATGAACATAATTGAGTCACTTAATTTTACAAGGTTTGCTACAAAAAAAGACAGCAGCCCCTTCCCCTATACCCCCATTTAATCCCTCCCTGGAGATGATCACTTCAACCCATTTAAACAACTCTTTGGATGTTTACCTCAATTTCTCTGAACAATAAGTTTATTTTACTCCTTTAGATGTTTTCATTTTAGACATATGTTCTGACGGCCACAGCAGAAGGTAAGGATTTCGTTTTCTTTCACACCTTATTCCCACCCCTGCTACCTTACACTTCTTTTCTGTCCTCCCATTACCCAAATACAGCTACATTGTCACTGTTGTTAGATCACTATTCACTTTTTACTTTATTATGACAAGGTAAATGTTACCTCCAACTAACCATATAATATACTATGATCACTCTTTCCTGCAGAACATGTTCCTGAGGTCGATAATTGTTTTATATATTTCACATAGTTTCCTCCATAGGTATCATTAACTTATGCACAAGTTCTGAAATCTCTAAACTGTGTTTCTGTATCAGACTCATCAGATACTCTATTAACTTTCTCTTCCATCAGGCTTACTCCATTCTAGATTTGTTGTCCTGGAGCATAGCAGTCATCTTATGCTTTCCCATAATCCTCTTACTGGAGATGCTCGTCCTTCTCCTTTGTGGGACCTCTTTTCATGGTCCCCATTCCTTCTTCTTTCTTGGCCCATTTCTTCATTTTAGTGGAACATGTCCTTCAGTAATTTTTTGAGAAATGATGCATAACGATGTGAAGCTTTTCAGAACTTGCTTGTTTACAAATGTTCTTTTTTATGCCCTCACACTTAATTAACACCTAGATTTGGTACCACATTTTAGGCTGGAAATTGTTTTTTCTTCTGAATTTTAAAGACTTTTCTTCATTAGCTTCTATTTTCTAGTATTGCTGTTGAAAGGTCCAAAGCCATTCTGATTCTTGATCCTTTGTCAACATAAAAGGGATGTTCTCTTTGTACCAATATTTTTATTCTTTAAAAAAACGGTTTCATTAGTTAAGATAGCTTATCACTCAAGGTTTTAATTTACATTTACTTAATTACTGGTGCACAAGTTTCATCTTTGCTTTTCTACTCATTTTCTGATAGCATTTATCTTGCCAGAATGAGGTACAGAAAAAAAAAACAAAAAAATTATTTAAAAGTAAAGTCTAGGGCTTCCCTGGTGGCGCAGTGGTTGAGAGTCCACCTGCCGATGCAGGGGACACGGGTTCGTGCCCCGGTCCAGGAAGATCCTACATGCCACGGAGCGGCTGGGCCTGTGAGCCATGGCCGCTGAGCCTGCGCGTCTGGAGCCTGTGCTCCGCAACGGGAGAGGCCACATCAGTGAGAGGCCCGCGTACCGCAAAAAATAATAATAATAATAATAAATAAATAAAATAAAAAAATAAAGTCTATCCATAGGCCTATGAATTCTATGTACATTGAAATCGCCTGGTGATCTTTAAAAAAGATTGATACATGATTCTTACCTTCTAATTTAGTTGGTATGACATGCAACCAAGGCACTGGTATTTTTAAAAGCTAGCTACATAATTCAGATGTGCAACGTAAGAAATTCCAGAGTAGGAAACAGCTGTGGCCATTAGACCATAGGACTAAAGTGAATTGGGGTTTTATTAGAGATAGAGAAAATGAGAGACGGGAGTCAGGACTTAGAACATTAAAAATGCAAAGCTATTTATTTTAATAAGAGAGTTGACTATTATAAATTTGGTCAACCTGCTAACAAAACATGGTGGCTGTTATGTACTTAGAAAGAGCCCAAATTCTATTGCGTCGAGATGCCTAGAACATAACATTCAAACAGATATAGAGGCTACATTGTTTGAAATATAAAGGATGGACATTTAAGAAAACCTCATAAAAGTTCTGAATCCTGGAGGTGCTATAATTAGTTATTACTAGTAGAATGGGTTTCTTTTTTAACTTTAAAAAACGTTTTTTCAAAATGTTATTTCTAAATATTAACAATTTTTTTTAAATTTGTAGGATGATAGAAATGTCTTGTCACCACGTAAGAGACGAGAAAGCACAGGTATTGTACTCCACGATTATTTTATCCCACCATAAGAGAAGTATGAAGTCACAATTAACTGTTAGAAGATACATGTGTGTGTGTGTGTGTGTGTGTATATTTTTTTTTTTTAACTTAATGTAAGTCTAAGGTGGTGAATTCTAAAATATATACACAGCCTGACTGGAATCTTGAAAAACTAAAAGCCAATCTTTGATATTCTCTAGGCTATTCTCTTTCTTCTTGAGAACTCTAAAATTCTGCTATTTTCGTTTGCTGTTAACAGCAACATGAATCTGGGGAATATCTTTTCCCTCAAGACATATTCTGTCATTGACTCAAATCCATTGGAGGAGGGAAAACGCAAACGTTTTAGTATTGGGTTAATTCATCTTCCAGTAAAATGAAGCTAGAGGTACATCCATGTTGGGGAAACATGGCCCTGTAAGAAGCTGCTGCTACACAACTGCCAGCTCTATCTGACTGTGATCTCTTTGGCTGAAGCTGGAATAAAGAGAAGCGGGGGGATGAATTTCTTATTTTAATTCAGCAAGGGGCAGAGCTTTTATTTTTTAGTCTCATCTTCTAAATTTAATCATTATGCTTAGAATTACAGACAATATTGGTGAAAAATAGGATGAAGGTGAAAATTCAGCATAGGCTTCAGTGACCTGAAGTTAGTAATGTCTGTTCTGATGCATTTCAGGGTCCCCTGAGAGCAGGTGCTGTACAGCACATCCTAATGATTCCAGAAAGGTTCTGAAAGGGAGCAATATGAAGTACTGTGCTAGGAGGAGGACTCCTCTGATGCATTTGTTTTCTCCCTAAAATAACATGTTTCCATAGAAGAGCAATAGTCCCAGGAGAGGGGGCTACTTTAGGCTTTCACTAGCAGTTGGGAACATGATGCCTCACACTGTATGAACCAGACTCCAGCCCTTGCTTCTCCAATGCCTCCCATCAGGTGCAGAAAACTCTTCCTAAGGTCAGAAAGTCAGCCTGCCCTAAGCTTTACTGTCTAATCCATCAGTTATCACACGTGTTCCCCCCCTGGTTATTAGGACATACAAAAGTGCTATTTAGTTTCCATTTTACTACTTATTTGTATGTATTCTCTTCTTCAGCATAAGGAAAGGTGAATTGGATTCAGGCACCAAACTTTAATTTCAAATTTGAAAAATAGAGCACTCACTTGAAAGATATACATATAAGATATATACTCACATGAGATATATATATATATATATATATATATATATATATAAAATACATATACATATATAGAATTTTATTTTAAAGAAATTTAAAATAGATTAAGGTATGAAGCAATTTGGAAATAAAGTCTACTGTTTTTAAAGATAGTCTTGGGCTAGATCATAGAATTTCTTCAATGTAATACCAAGGTATTTGGAATTTACTTTATGAACATGAAGGAGTCTTTACAGATTCTTGTTCATGAGAGTGTAGTAAACCAACACAACACGGTGAATGGTTGAATGGATAGCAAAAGCTTAAACATAGAGAAAACAGGAATTTATTGTAACAGTTTAGATGGGAAATACAATGGCCCTGACCAAGGACAGTGACAGTGGAGATAGAGTACAAGGAATGAAGTGGATACAGTTTATAAGGCAGTATATTCTACACTTTAAGATTCTGACCCATATCAGATCAGGGGTGCAGTCTTGGAGTAGTCTTTCTACCCTCACTATTAATATATATTATATATTCAAAAATTTTGAAGGGAATGAAGCTCAGAGAGGATTGTAAATCTTCTATTGCCATTACAGAGAGCACCTGTTTAGCAGTCATTGGTCAATCTGGTACTTCTCTGTGCCAAAGCAAAAAACTGTTATATCCATCTAATATACTGCTATGTTTAGCAACAGAGCAAATAACTGCTATAGCATCCATATGGCAAATTGTGCTTTAAAATTGTTCACTGCCTTAGCCATCGTTGGCCTGAAAAGCAAATGACAGTAGTTGCAGATGTTTTCAGCAGCATGTCTTCTTTTAGATGCCTCTTAAAGAAACAGAACATGGGGCTTCCCTGGTGGCACAGCGGTTGAGGGTCCGCCTGCCGATGCAGGGGACACGGGTTGGTGCCCCGGTCCGGGAGGATCCCACGTGCCGCGGAGCGGCTGGGCCCATGGGCCGTGGGCACTGGGCCTGCGCGTCTGGAGCCTGTGCTCCGCGGCGGGAGAGGCCGCAACGGTGAGAGGCCCGCGTATCGCAAAAAATAAAAATAAAAAAAGAAACAGAACAAGGCTTTTAAGCTCAGAGATGGACAAAGGCAAAATGGCAAAGTACAGTGCAAAGCCTTGGCAGTTACATTATTGTTATTCATGTTGGGGAAAAATTGTTCACCAGGCAAATCTAGAGCAAATAAACATAGAGACAAAAAATAACCCAAGTGTTCATGAAAATGACTCTAAAAAACTTTTAATGTAATGTTGCTTTAAAGCCACACACTTTCGAAAGACATAAGAATGCAATCAAAACATTAAATTTCAAAAAAATCTGTTTAGTGATTTGTTTTTATTTTAGATAAATATATATATTTATGTAGTCAGGTCATGAGGAAAGATATTTATTTTTTAATTGACAAAAGCATATTTGATTGCTGTAAATCCATATTTTAGATTATTTTTTAGATACTTGAAAAAAGGTTT